ATAATTATACTGACCAGTTTTTAATCTGTACATATGGACTTCATTGCACCATTGATCAGCAACTCCACTGTACTGGGCACCAGGTTGTGGTGGGGTATTATTAAAAGATGGTCCATTTCCTCCAATTACTACAAGATAGTCCTCATCATTCACTTTTATTGCTATCATGCTGGAGCCATCCTTCATCATAGGACCATGATGAGGTGTAGTAGGAGAGAGTTCCTTCCAATTGAAGGTATCAACATTAAAACTGTATAAAATATTATTTAATATTTATCAGTAACTATTATGTTTACCTGTATAAACTATTATGATAACAGTGACTATGACCACAATAGCCTCCAAAAAAGAATATTTCATTTCCAATGACAGCAGCAGCATAGCCACGGACACCAAGTGGAGGGTCACCAGTGGTAGGCTTTTGTACCCACTCACCAGTTGGTAGGTGACAGACCTCCACTACAGAACACATTGATTTCTTCTTTTCATTATTGTGTACTCCAGAGAGATCAGGCATCCTCCCACCCCACATGTACAGGTAGTCTCCTACCTGTACTGTAGAGTGATCGTTCCTCTCCTTTGGTTGATAGACTATAGATAACAAGAGGACACAGTAATATAGTGAATAGTTATAATAAGGAGAGGATACAGAGGAGTAAAGTAAGGGAGAAAGAGAACAGGTCACTTACTTGATGACATCTCCTCCAGTAAACAGCCTCTACAGTCTACACTATTAATAATAATTAACTCAATAATAACATACCATACATACCTCACCTGACATACCCACACACTGCACTCACACACTTTCTTGTAGTACAATGCATATATCATACGTTCAGCCATTATAAATCATCATCACTCTATGAAGAGGTAGAAAGAGAGAAATTGCTTAGATTTCCATGACTTCGTTTATTTCCTGATTATGCATGTACATACGTGTACATGTGCACGCTTGTATTGTTTGTCCTTATTTTTGATGCTCCTATTACTGGTATAAAAGTTTTGATAGACTATACAGCAATGACTGGACTAACTGCATCAAAGGAAACTACACAAATAATGTGAAGTATTAATTTCTTAGAGGGAAAGGCCCTTAAAAATAGATATACTATATCCCAGTTCAGTTTGGGACGGAAGTGGAAGCAC